GTTCAAGATCGAGAGATATTCCATTGTGTTGTAATGAGACTGATAAAGTGATTGACAATAGTTCTTTGTACATGAACTCACTATTTGAGTACTTCATAGCATGAGTATCATTATGATCTATAAGTTTTAGAATTACTTCTGAAAATGCAAGGTTATTGTCTCGTATAAAGTCTCTGAGAGAACTAAATTGATCATGATTAATATATTTATAGATAACAGAATCTGAGTTATATAACAAGAGGACAATTTGTTTTTACAATCTATACTTTAATTGATTTCATTATTTATTTTCTTCCTTTTTTTTACACAATGAACTTTGATTCTATATGAACTATACTTATGCCCTTTCCTTTTGTATTAATTAAAGTATGTAAGATTTGATTAGAAAGAAGTCTTCTTTCTTTTTCTTAAAATATCTTATCAAATGAAAAAAGAATATCTACATTCATAAACATTTTATATTCTAATGAAATATTTTTAGCAAAACATTCCTCATTAAATTCTTTAGAAAACGTCGAGATTTGAATTATTTTGTAGATTATGAAATAAATCCTACGCAATGAATTTGTTCAAAAAGATCAAATTTCAATATTTTATAATAGAAACAATATGATGTCTTTCCAATGAAAATTTATATAAAATAACAAAATTTCGAACCTTTTCTGATTATGATCTTTGTCTTATTTCACTTTTATTAAGTAAGTTTTCATTTGTATTAAAATATAAAATAATGCGAAATGTTTTTCAATTGACAATTCTTTTGAAAGAAGATCATTTAATGTTATCAATTACTGAAAGATGAATAATATAATCGAAAAGTATATTCAGATCGTCATTTTATAGAAATGAAAATGTCCACAGATATCGAAACAAGAAATAATAATGCAACAACACTGAAATGTGTTTTTTATACGATAAATTGTAATTATAGATGGCGTTGCTTTTTCAGATCTAAATAAAAGAAATCACGTTTGAATATTATTCTGAAAAGTTTTTTTTTTCTGATTGGTTCATAAATAATCGTATGATAATAGACGATAATATAGTAAAGTAAAAGCTAAATGTTATTTGTATATCTTTATTATTGAATATGAATTGTGATTTATCATTACTTAGTTGGAATATATTAGCATCAAGTTGGGTATATAAAGAATGGTATCCATCTTTATATGATTTAGCTTTAGATGATCGAACACGTCTTGAATTAATTGTTTCACATATTGAAAAACTTGCTTATGATATTATTTTTCTTCAAGAAGTACAAGAAGATCAATTATATTTATTTAAAGAACGATTAAGTAATGATTATTCTTATGAACTAGTAACGCTCGTCGAGGCAGACTCGCTTAACCCTCGACTGAATGACTAACAGTAAAATATTTCTTTTGCTGAAATTATGCATAATAATTTGAATTCTATTATTATTAGTATGTACTCGTCATAGTTCTTATTCACATTGTCATCTGAGAAGTCATATCGTAGGTATTTAAAAAAAGCATTCTAATTCAAATAAAAGTTGAGAAGGTTCGTGTGACAATCTATGATTGTACACT